ATGATTCCTGTGAGAGACAAAAAAGTTAGTATTGAAATATGGTCTTTTGAGACTCGGCTCTGCTTATTTGAAATATGCAATTTTAAATCCGTTAAATCCAGTAAGCCTGTGGAAATTTTGAAAAATCTGATTTTTTTACACCAGTGTCTTTTCTGTATGAGGTGCTATAAAATGTTGTTAAAAAGAGTTTCCCAAAAACGAAGCCAGGAGTGAAAAAAGTTAAAACAAAAGGATTTTTCAACTCAAAAGGGGGGTAAGAGCTAAAAAAAAGAATCTTATAAAAGTTGTAGAGCATAAAATTCTACATAGAAATGGTTTATTGACTTTTCTTTGTACAATCAAAATTAACAGAGTTAGGGTGGCTAGAAGTTAAGGGATGATTTCAGAAATTTAAAAAATCATAACAAGCAGAAAAATGAATGCATTTATATATATTTTTTCAATCTACTCTAAAAAATGTAAACTTTCTTTTCAGAAAAATTTATATATTCATATAAATTTTTTAATTTTTAATAAAAAAGTTATAACAATTTTAATTTTTCAATCGTTAATTTTTATGATTTAACACTAAAACATTTTTTTTCTATACCATTCGATTGATTATTTAAAATAAATTTTGTTTTACGACAAAGATAAAAAATCACGTTAACTTTGTGAAATTGATATAACATTTTTATTAAAAATTTAAAAATATATCTATTTCTCTGAAAAGATAGTTTACATTTTTTAGAGTAGATTGAGAAGAAAATTATAAAATTCATTCATTTTTCTGCGTGTTATGATTTTTTAAATTTCTGGAATCATCCCTTAACTTTTAGTCTCCCTAACTGTTAATTTTAATAGTACAAGAAAAAGTCAATAGACCATTTTTATGTATAATTTTATACTCTACAACTTTTATAAGAAACTTTTTTTCTAGCTCCCACCCCTTTTAAATTATCTTGAAAAACCCCTTTATTTTATCTTTTTTCACCCTTCCCCGAAGGTTGAAAAAAATATTACTGTCACTTAATATTGCTATTATATACAGCAAACTAACTTATATCAAAAATTCAGGCAAGTTGACCAAAATAGCGATTTAAAGGTCCATTTAATTATACTATTAGAGCCACTAATATTAATGATTCGTTTATAATGAACAATGACAAACCGTTTCGTCTACGTTGGAGATAATGCGATTGTTGATTGGTTGAATAGAATCTTGTAAAAAATTACACAAGTCACCAGCCAGTGAAACAGAATGTTATGTTTTAATATAATATTAATTTTATTGTTTTAAAATATTAATGATTCTTTTACAATGATCAATGACAAACCGTTTCGTCTACGTTGGAGATAATGCGATTGTTGATTGGTTGAATAGAATCTTGTAAAAACTTACACAAGTCACCAGCCAGCGAAACAGATTGTTATGTTTTAATATAATATTAATTTTATTGTTTTAATAACTTTTAATTTGACCGAAATTTAATATCCAACGTCAAGGAAATAAAATTACTGTTCGATATAAAATTACTAGTCACATGCCTTGTAATCATTTATAAATGATGTATAATTTATTTCTGTATAATACTGGTCTTTATTTTTCATATTTTGGATAGTAATTGACGGAATTTTATATACTCTTGGCATTTTCAAGTTTTCTAAAAGCGAAAATATTTTGTACTTTGTCCACTTGTCATAGACATCTTTATTGAATTATGATTATTGAAAAAAAAATCTGTATATTTTATAATCTTTAGCTTTTATATTTTTTGTAGTTTTTCAGAATTTAGAAGTTTAATTTTTTTTCAATTTAAAGGATGTTTTCTGAGTTCATGTCATAACTGTAGGGTTCTTTCCATTTTCCAGACGCTTTAAACAGCCTTGAGTAGAACTAATTTTTTATTTTTAGCCTTGACATACTGAATTATTTTTGGCTATAGCCCTTGTTATGTCCTTGGAAATCGTGAACAATTTGTATACATTTATAGTAAAAATTCCAATTTTAAATTAGTTGCTTATAGGGTTCCACAAGGTCTCGTATTGAGACCATTATTATTTATGCTATTTATAAATGACTTATTTTGTTTCCTAACAAAAACAACTAAAGAATACCAACATAAAGGTGAACACTACTATAACTATAATACGCTTAGAAGGTAAAAATAGATTCACTACTCACAAATAAATATCTACCTATAGGTATTATAGAACCGTATGTTTTCCATGGAAAGTACGTCCCGGCCTATTTAAGAGAGTCCTTCTCTCGATGTAGTCTGGCTGATACTCTCCTCCCCGCAATTTTCGCAACAGCATTATCTAGGCTCTCGGATGCTGTCGTGTAGGACAACTCTGAAATAGGTTTATTGGGGTGCGAGGGCGCTGATCGAGTTAAGCGCGAGGGGTGAGGAGGATTAGGGGATGTACCGTTTTTCCACCGGCGCCACCGGAGCAAGGCGAAAATCTCTGATACTTTTTGTCTCGCTGTCCTCAACTTTTGGGTCGGCTGCTTGTTCGTTAAAGGTGGCGAAATCCCTGCAGAAAACGCAACTCGGTTCGACGGAAAGCCGAAGGAATGGAAAATTGAAAAATGAAGTGAAAAATTAGTGAATTATAAAAAATATGTACAGGGTTACAGAAAGGGTAAATACTTAATTGTGGAGAGTAGAAGTCAAAATGTAACCATGCCTCAATGAAATGTTGATGGGTAAAAAATGCGAAGTTAAAATTAATGTGTCTTTAGAATTTTCTCTTAAAAGTTATGGTGTGGACTTTATTTGTGGTGGGAATCAGGCTGGAGGAAATTGTCAACATACTACAAAAAAAAAACAATTAAATTCCTATTCATTTAGCTTTTATGAAAACAGATTAATCTCTTTTTAAAAATCAGCTGTTGTTTGCAGTCTAATTGAAAATATTCTTGAATATTCCTTAAAATATCGTGTAATTTGTTTCATATTACAGTGACAATTATTTACTATCAAATAAAAGCAAATATGACATCCTTATAATCTTATTTTTCCGAAAATATTAAAAAAAAGTACTACATAACTACGTCAGTGAAAAGAACACAAAAAATTATATCAGAATTGTTCAAGAATTTTTTCAGTCAAAAGATTTACAACCTGAAAGTTTTACATTTACATTTACATTAAAAATCATCTCCTCGACATTTAAGATCCTTAGTGGTCGCCCTGGGCCACCGTCGAGACCTCGACGCGGTTGTACTTTACCGGTATCCACAACTCTTTGCTCTACGTCTACAGCAACAAATGTTCGGGGGTACGTCGTTCGGGATATCTTGCACGGTACACTTGACAAGCTCTGTGGGCATTTTCATTTGCTTCACCATAAATTATGAGCATATTATAATATCCGCGGTTTTTAAATAAATGCGCCATTTTCAAAAGAAAACTTGGAAATACGGATATTAAATGTACTTTCGAAAAACAGCACAGCAATCACTACAACAATGTATTACAAACTGACTTTCGAATACAGTCTGGCTTCATAAGAAACCTATACAAACTCGTAAAGAGTGTTACAGAATTTTTTGTAAGTACTCGCCGCTATAAAATACATGTATTTCAGCAGTTCCAAAACAGTTTTAAACACATTTTTAATTAGCTTTTTTCTCTATGACCTTAAACTGCCGATACAAGTTTGTGACATCAGTTAACTCAGTTTTTGTTCCTTTTTCACCCTTTTAGATTTTTGACATAAGTTCATTAGCACCCTGTATTTGCATCAAATATAGTAAAAACTCGTGAACGATTAGGAATAATACAGGGTGATTCAGAACTTATCCAAAAAAAATTCTGGATGTACAGGGGACCCTTACAAATACAATTTTGTAAAGAAAAAATCAAAAAGGTCAGTTCGAAATTGATTTAAAAATACACTTCTGCACGGCACTGGAAACTGGTCCATTGTAAAACCTGACCTTGCACAATGCGACCGGTATGGCGGCGTGATAAAAACGGACAAAAACTTTCGCAAGGAAAGAAATATGTAAATAGAATTTTATCGCACCTATTTTATATCGGCAAATTCAAATGCTTTAGCCTTTATTAATTATTGATAAAATTAATTTGTGTTTTTAAATAATAAAATCATTTGACATACCCGATGCTGCAACAGCAATTGTTCAATATTTTATCCACTCACGTGTAAACACATTTGGGTCCGTCTTACTCACTTTCTACAAACTAACACAAATGATGTCTTGCTTCACCATAACACAAATACTTCACAATAATACAAATGTTGTCTTGCTTTACCATAAATTAAAATGATATCCATCAACTCTGAGTTGCTATACACGCAAGCGATTTTTGACACTAACTACTAAAAACTGATGTAAATACCACAGATAACAGGTAAAAACTACCGCAACGACGGATTTCAGTATTAGGAGTCACATGGCTCTCCACGCGTATTGCGAATGACGCTAGAGACTACAGTTGTCCAGCTATGTAGTGGTTTAATGTGCTATAACTTCAATAATTTTTTTCTCATAAAATATAAGGATTTTACAAAATTTTTTTTTACAATATTGACTCCATTTCTCATCTATTCCCAAATTTTTTGGATAAGTTGTGAATCACCCTGTATATTTTAATATGTAAAAGTACAACGTAAAAGATAAAAATACATAACAAAAAGAAAATATGTGTAATTTTAAACAAACTATCATGTATGTTCAATTCATTTAACTCTTTGTGTATGAAAACCATTATATATATGTAAGAAGCGTTTGTGAATTTCCAGAATTTTTATCAATGTACCTGCTCACCACCATAGCCATTGCACTTCGTCAGTCCTAACTAGGAATATCCTAACTAGGAATATTTGACCTACTCTTACTGATCTTGTACTAGGCTCTGTGGGCCTTAAAAGCAAAATGGAAACAAAATAAAAATGCAGCTCACACAAACCCTAACGAGATCCTCGTTTCTATTCTATTAAAATCAACATTTTTACATGATTTACAGTAGTCTAACTTTTTTTCATTTCAGGGGACGTCAAGAAGATGGTGGACGAGGGGTGGTTGCACAATGCCTTCAATCAATACGCTAGTGATATGATAAGTGTTCATCGGAGCCTGCCCGACCCCAGGGATGAATGGTGAGTCGCCCTTTTCGCAAACATTCCGTCCGCGAGACGCTCATCCGAACTCGGAGACGAAATCTCCCATTTAAGTTGAACGCGAAATCCCCTCCCGAAAGAAAAACGGATTTAAAAGTTTCCATAAGCCCCTATTTATACGGGGCGCGGCATCCACTGCAAATTTACTTCTATCAAAATTCACAAACTTTCCCCGGTGTTTGTAAGGATGTTTTAGCATTTATATAGGATCCGCCCGGGGGGAGTTTTTTTTTTGGCCTGTCCGAGAAAGTTCGCGTACACATCCCGCCGAATCCGTTTGAAGATAAATGGAAGACAATTAAAAACTTTCCGCCCGCCCCGGCGGATGGTTTCCATTGAACGGCCTCAATTTCGAATGCGAAATTGCGTTGTGGGGCCTTCGCTGTGTATTGGGGTTTTTTATTGCGCGCCCGTCGCCGTTCGACGCTCTTTTGTATCGCCGTCGGTCGGCCCACACGATATTTTCACGAAACTCGAGACGTGCGGATAATCACTGTTGTTAGTGGCGATGGATTTTTTGCCCGACGGTCTTTTGTTTGGCTGTCGGGCGGCTCGATCCTTTCACGAAACTCAAATTGTGTGGACAATTACACTTGGTAGTCATAATTTTCTGTGTCTATAGTAGGATCATATTCGATGCAAAGTAATAAATCATTGCCTGTCAAGGGAATCAATGAAGTACGCTTTTAAGGGTTTTACAAATGGAATAATTTCTTTATACATTATGAAGGGACGAGGGGATCAGTTCAGGTCTGGTACCCTTGTTGCTACAAAAATTCCTTTATTCTCATAAACTATTTGTTTTAAATATAATTTATTATAAATCCAATTTGTTTCCTAAATTCCACATATGTACTACATTTTACCTCTGTACGCGCCACTGTTGTTTACTTGTTTTTTTGGAAGCGCTCTCTAATTGACGGCTAAGCTCGCCAGGTTAGTATTTGACGTAAACNGTTTACTTGTTTTTTGGAAGCGCTCTCTAATTGACGGCAAAGCTCGCCAGGTTAGTATTTGACGTATAACCGACCAGTTCGTACACTCGATGCACCTGGGCGACTACAGCTACTACCAGAACACAGTGCGTATGCAGCGGTATTTCAGATTTTTCATTGAATGTCATTTTAAATTTGAAATGATTTATCTTACGCCTCCTAAAAATGATGACACGATATTCCCTTGATAAAAGGCCGACAATTTGTTGCTCTACTTTGCATCGTATACGATCCTACTATAGTGTCCTGTTGAGACATGTACATATACAGGGTGTTTTTTTAAATAAGTGCATTCTTTGAAAAAGGTGATAGAGGGCGTGAAAATAAGCAACTTTCATTATGTAACTGATAGTCAAAAACATTACGTTTTGAATTGAAAAAAAAATCGTATTAAGATTTAAACGAATTTACAGCCGTCCTTGGAGATCTTTGATATCGAAGTTGCCGCGCGTCGCAATGCGAAAGCGCTAATGGCAGTTTTGACGGTTTAAATTTTGTGTTCGAAATTGCTGAAATTGATTCAAATCTCGTTTAAAAGTAACACAAAAATTAAACGAATTACTTACAAATAGTCGATATGCTCTATAAAAATTATTCAGTTGTTTCCATGTGCTAATAAAGATGCTTCCAAACGACTGTCAAAATTATGTTACCAAAAACACCACACCACACATTCTAGTCCAATTGAATGGGCCTTTAAATCGCAATTTGAACAACTTGCCTGAATTTTTTGATATAAGTTAGTTTGAGGTATATAATACAATAAGTGACAGTAATTTTTTTTTGCAACCCCCGGCCAGGGGTGAAAAAAGATAAAATATAGGGGTTTTTCAAGATAACTCAAAAAGGGTATGAGCTAAAAAAATTTCTTATAAAAGTTGTAGAGAATAAAGTTCTATATAAAAATTGTCTATTGAATTTTCTTGTACTATAAAAAATTAACAGATTTAGGGTGACTAGAAGTTAAGGGAAGAAATTTAAAAAAGTCATAACAAGCAGAAAAATTAATGATATTTATAATACATATCCCAGCAAGAGACGTAAATCATTTTGAACTTTGTCATATGTAGAGATTTAACATTCCTTGAAAAAGTAAGTATTTATTAAAATATGTATTAAAAAATTTTTCCACATTAATTTTGCTATAAATAGACAAACCTTAATGAATATTAAAATGAATTAAATTTCAATTTCACAAACCACAGAAATATACAAATTTTTAATTATTCATGAGTAAACGACGAAAGGAAACAAAATATTAGTTCTTTATAACTAAAAAACAACATTGGAAGTATTATTTAGTATTATTTAACAGAATTTCAACAAACAAGCTAAAAAATCAAGTTCATAAAATAAAACATTGGTTTCCAAATTCACTTACAGGAAGATATTCAAGTTCCATGTCTGATTCTAAATATAATTAGAATCTTTATTAGCTTCTTCTAAAACTAGAATGGTGTGATAACTTCTTTACTAAAATGATTTCAAATGTTATTTTTCGAATATACAGGGTGTCCCCAAAAGGCCTGTACAAAATTCTACCACAAATTCTCGAGGTGAAAATAGATCGATTTGCCTTATCTTACCTTAGTACAAGAGTTGATATTATACGAAGATACAAGGCGGCAAAGTTAATAATAATTTATTTTCAATTTTCACTATTTATTGATAGAAACATGACAACGTTATAAAACTTGGTATACAGGCTTTTTTTAGGGCGAAAAATTTAAATATGTCAACAAATTTGGTTTGGTATACTCGACCTTTTTCTGTATACTCTAACTTCTAACACATTCGCTGGTATTCCCTTGATAATACCCAAAAACCAATAGCATGTCAGTCGTTTCTGCATTATTGTAAACTACAGTAATCGTGAACAGATCTAACTATTTTTCATCAGATTTTAATGTCTTGTCAATAAGGATATTTGACATTGACTTTGACTAATACCTGGATTATTATTGTGAACAAATACGTATGTGCAGGTAAGTTCTTATCTTTTACTTTGCGTAGTTTAATCAGAAATAATTATTTTTCAAATAATGTATGGCAGAACAGTAACTTTTTCACATAGTAGGCATTTTTCTTGGTGACATTTTGGTTGTAATGATACTAATGATTGTCACTTTCTCGTGCTATCGTTTAAATTCTTACGTTTCTTAGTTGTGATCTTTGTGCTTGACTTTGCATTTCATTCGATTTTTTTACAATTATGAACCATCATGAGCAGACGCTCTTCTTACACTCTCAGTAGAATTACGTTAAAAAAATCCTAAAATTACTTCGTCTAAATCATGCCTACGCCTCCTTAGATGGTCAAATTCACGATATCTTGAAGTTTAGGCTCCTGATTCCATCGTTCTTGCATGAATTTTCCCAAACAATCTTGCAAAAGGTTGCCTTCTATCAGGGAAACGTTGCGGATACTCTTTTTGAGCCGCCAGACTACATATTTCCATTACAGAAACCATAAGTAAAATGCATATCGGCATATTCACGGTTAGTAAAAGCATGATGATTCATGGTTGTAAAACATCGAATGAAATGCAAAGTCAACCACAAAGATGACAATTAAGAAACGTAAGAATTTAAATGATAGCATGCGAAAGTGACAATCATTAGTATCATTACAACGAAACTGTCACCATGAAAGCTACTATGTGACAATATTAAAAAAAGTTACTGTTCTGAGTCATACATTATTTAAAAAGTAATTATTTCTGGCTACACTACGCAGAATTCGAAAAACAAAGTAGACATTTTTTCTTCAAAAAAAGTCTAATTCATTAAAAAATAATATTATTTACTTGATAATTCAAAGGATTAAAAAAATATTCGAAAATATTTCTGTTAAGGGTGGTTAAACAACTATCCTTATTTATACCCGATTTTGATGAAAGTTATGATAGCTCAAGACCCTTATGGTATGACTTACCAACAATCTTAATCAGAAAGAAAGTTATTTTAAAAAATATCCAAAGGATAAGACTTTGGAGGGCCATACTCAGTAACGGTACTCCGGTGGACCAATGTTTATAGGAACTTTTTTTACTATTTTTGGTTCTACTATAGACCTTTCGGGGACACCCGTATAATAATATATTTTGGTAACATAGAACCTTTATATCCTAGAAGTTAACAAATGCTCAATTTTTCCATTTTTTTTGTTTTTCAATATTTTTTGGGAAAAAACGTTTTTTTTTCATCTCTCATTCTTTTTCCGAAAATATCGGACCTGTGTCCAAAAATATGTCACAAATTATTGTTTGATCAAATAAACCCCACCAAAATTACACATCGAAAAAATCGAGTTGCATGTGACGGAAACCTACGCGTTATAAATTTGTTTCAGGAACGTTGTATAAAGGAAAGTATTAGATAAAAATTTCATGTACGTGGAGGAATATTGTGTTAAGACTGTTTTTGACAATATTTGCCGTAAAGGAGCGAATTTACTGTATTACACTACGTTAAGGGCACGTGGTGCCTTTTATGTGAGCCCTAAACAAAAAATATTAACGTGCGGTTCAGCGAAATTTAGGAGGGTCGAGACCCCATTCTTCTGAGCAAGGGCACACTGGCACCGTAACTTTGCGTAAAAATATGAAGTTGTAGCGCGGCCTTAAGTAATTACATTCATGAAAGAATAACGTCTGCTCAGTTCTCGTGTGGCTTACAAAACATACCACATTTGAATACCAAAAAGATGCTGTTGAATTTTGTTAATTACATGGATTATCTCAATACAGATGTAAAAATATATTATTAATCTACAGGGAGTCCAATAATTTATCACATGATTCTATTGCCAAAAATAAGAATATTTTTTCATATAAACATGGGTCGAGAAATGCTTTCTAAGGGAGCTACGCCCCCCTAAATGGGGCCTCAAAAATTCATTTTTTTTTAAATATTTCCGAAATGGCTTGAAGGAAAATTATGAATTTTGACATTAAAAGTCGAAATAGATCATCATAAAATTTT